GACTATTATTGCATAAATTTTATTAAAAAGTGTGTATATTTGGCGAAATTCCGAATTTATATTAGTATCATGGTTGGACCTAGTTGTTTCCTGCATTGGATGTCAGGTGTGCTTCGGTTTGTTTAAATTTTCTTTCGCGCGCAGCAACAAAATTTTCTGTTTACTTTCCTAGTCACAACTTTCTTAAACAGAGCATAGAGGAAGTATAGATGAATTCTCATGTGATTTGAACCATCGCATATCCAAGTCTAAAACTGGCTACTTTTCAAGGGGTTTCCGGAAATCGACTGGATCCTGGGAAACTTTTTTTTTTAATGCCAATGTGATTTGAGGTGTCACATGATAAGTTTTATTCGTTTGAGGTCGCAATTTGCCGCATGACTCATACGAGCTTTTGCTCTGACCTAGAAATTCAACAATTGATGAGCTTGAGCATGATTGACCGCCCACGGTTGCTACTGTTATTGCCAGACCAGCTGTAATTACACAGAGAACCAATAGACGATGCTTGGGACTAGTAATCATCCTCAATGCGTAAAAACTGGTGATCTTAAATTAGACAATACCAGCGCCGGCCGCGCCCGAACACAGGTCAAGAAAGGAAGGGGTAGGAATGTGTTGACGTGACACTCGCTTTGATGGAAGCCGAGAACACCTCTGCACTTCCACGAGGAATCACTGGGATATTGGGTAATAGGGTTGGGTTTGCAGCAGGGTTCGTCTTGGTAAACGATAAGCTGAATTGATGTCCTAACAATCATATAACGCGAAGGAGCTTGGGATTGAACCCACAGTCTTCTGCTCAGCAAGCAAAAACGTTTGCCACTAGGCAGACGAGCTCCTTTTTAATCATCGAGTTGCTGTTATTACCATGTAGTCATGTTAACAAAAAAAAAAAAAACGATTGACGAATCTTGAATGTGGATGGGCTTGAGATTAGACTCATGATGGTCTGCTCAGTAAGCAAAACCGGTTGCTCTAAGACTACCGAGCCCCTTATTTCACATTATAGCGTTACTCAAATTTTTATAAGTATTCAAACCCGGCACCGACGACAACGGAAAGTTTTACAAAATAAACGATAAACAAGCGATCTTACCATACATTTTGTATTTTGCATCATTCTACCAACACGCTGTAAACTACATAATGATGATGCATGATAATTTTATGTTAAAGTTGTCCTCCAAATTGGAGAACAAATAGGTGCTTAAACCCCGTATGATCGTTATACTTTGCTGGCATATGAACCAACATTTTGTTCAATATTGAAAGTACCGTCTTCTGATAAGAAAAACAACTGCCTGTTGCGTTATCATAAAATGCAACATTCACTCTCTTCTCTGCTTCAAAGACCTAATTTAAAACTAATGATGGAGCTACTGAAACGACGTATTTTTTGGTAGTTGTTTTATCGCACAACATGTATGTGTTTGTGTACTTTACTGGGGTACTACTCCAAAATATATAACAGCTTGCCACATTTGAATGTTCATAATTTATTACATTCCAGGAAAAATACTTGAACCAATATTGAACCATAACCGAAACAATGAGTATGAGCATGAGCATAATTGACCACCCACGGTTGCTACTCTGTTATTGCCAGACCAGCTGTAATTACACAGAGAACCAATAGACGATGCTTGGGACGATCAATCATCCTCAATGTGTAAAAACTGGTGATTTCGAATTAGGCAATACCAGCGCCAGCCGTGCCTGAACGCAGGTCAAGAAAGGAATGGGTAGGAATGTGTTGACGTGACACTCGCTTTGATGGAAGCCGAGGAGTCCTCTGCACTTCCACGAGGAATCACTGGGATGTTGGGTAAGAGGGTTGGGTTTGCAGCAGGGCTCGTTTTGGTAAACGATAAGCTGAATTGATGCCCCAACGATCGTATAACGCGAAGGAGCTTGGGATTGAACCCACGGTCTTCTGCTCCTTTTTAATCATCGAGTTGCTGTTATTACCATGTAGTCATATTAACACAAAAAAAAAAAACGATTTACGAATCTTGATGTGAATGAGCTTGAGATTAGACTCAGGATGTTCTGCTCAGTAAGCAAAAACGGTTGCTCTAAGGCCACCGAGCCCCTCATATCATATCATACCGTTACTCAAGTTGTTATAACTATTCAAACCTGGCACCGACGACAACGAAAGGTTTAGCAAAATACACGATAAACAAGCGATCTTACCATACATTTTTAATATGAAAGGACCTGGGACCGCGTTTTTCTGCTCAGTAAGGAAGCCACTGCAACCGACGATCTTTCAAATCCGAAAACAAAAGGCTACGAAAAAGTATTTAGGCCTTGATTAAATTCCACTATCACGCGACGTTCAATGTTTCGATTTGCTCTTTACGCATTGTTCAGGCAATCATAACAAGCTATAACCGACGTGACGATTGTTCAAAGCAATATAAGTAATATGAGTATTATTGTACAAATTACAGTACATTGTAGAAGTTACCTCATTATTCTGCAGCGCCATCGGTTTTTATTTCTGGATCTTGAGTTGTTTTGGTGATATACCCGAGCAAAGTCGGTTAACAAAATGAAAGCAAATCGATATTAAAGTGTGCAGTTGCTATCATAATGAAAACTCATTTTGATTTCAAATGTTGCGACATAAGTCTGATATCATATTGTGCTTTCATTATGCAGTCAAAACTTTTTAAATGAAAGCAACTTAACTTGAAGTTCTGCTGTTTTCGTCTTGTTTAAAATTTAATTGAAATTCATCTGTCGTTAAACTTATGATTATTGATTTGTTTAACACATTTTAGGTCATTCGTGACTTGCCCGGGGTGAGATTGGAGCCCAAGTCTTTCAGCTTGAGAAACATGAATGGTAACCATTTACTCCAGGCCCGTATTCAGTTGAACATTATGAATGCAAAATCAGTAAACAAATTGATTTCATTGAAACCAGGATAAGTTTTCCGTTTGCTTCAACAGTATTAAATTTTGCTCTCATTTTTGCTGTGTTAACCGTTAAGTCAACCAAAATGAGATCAACTGGAGTATTCAAAATAAGTTACATCATAACAGCAAATTTTGATTTCAATTTGATCTTCAGCTTTGCTCGGGTACTTACTTGCGGCATACTATTTTGGGCGCCCATATAGGCGTGTACTATGTAGGGTAGCTCATCCCTCGTCGTGATGGTGGGATATAGCAGACACATTAGAGACGAAACATTAGAGAGGAAACAAAGAGGTATTAGTATTAGTTATATCTAAAAAAACAAAACAAAAGAAGAGCAGAACAATAAAAAGAGAATAAGAAAAAGGAAAACAAAGAAAAACCAACGTAGGCAGATTATTGAAAAAGTGTAAAAACAATAGAATGAAGCATAGATCAATTACTAGGAAAACAGAACTACTTTATAACTAAAAATGCAATGAATGAGCGTTAGTTTCGGGTTAATTTTAGTGTTAGAGTTATGATCGTTTTGATCCGTAGTCAACCCTGCCAGTCTCTCCAACACTAGTTGCAGGTAGTGGTTGTACAATCATGCGACACTTTAACCACTACTATGTTAGAGGTATGATTCGCCAAGTTTATACAACTCAATATTTCAATTGACGTAAACTATTTATCGTGCAATTACAAAAGCAAACCTAAAATTGCAATTATATGGAAATATTATATTTCTTATATAAATAACTTAGATAAAAACAAAAACAAATGCAAAATGAAACTTGACAAACCATTGTCAAACCCCCCATTCTAGGGCAGGGCAATAGGGAGGATTATTGTCACAAGAGACAAACACCCTAATTTTAAGAACATAAAAAGATTGAACAAAAAATATGAAGCAACTTTCCCTAAGAAACCATATACCTAAAACTGACAGTTTGGGCGCGAACATTTTTGTCTTCCTAGGTAAATGCGGCTGGGCCCAATGTGCATTGGTTTTGGTTCTACTATACTCCTTTTTGTGACGTCTTGATTGTCAAGTTTTCTTTGTACAGCTAAAAAACATCTATTTCAACTGTTTTTTTTGCCTATTAGCAACAATTTTGAGGTTTTGGCCAACTTTTGTTCTAAGGGGAACCACTGTGCGATGGCGTCACTGGGTGGAAGTACTGAAAGAGCTAGATCAAGTGACTATCCCTCGCTGCTACTTCCCAAACTATTCACTGAACAGCTTGGACACACTTGAATAGCATGTGTTTGTTGATGCAAGTGAGGAAGCGTACGCCTGCGTTGCTTACTTTCGCATCATCGATCGTGGTCAGGTCCGCTGTGCACTTGTATCTGCAAAATCGAAGGTCGCTCCACTAAAACCACTGTCAATCCCGCGGTTGGAACTGCAGGCAGCGGTCATATGAAGCAGATTGGTGAAGTCAATTGAGGAAAACAACACGCTGCCGATTCGTCGTAGAGTAATCTGGAGCGATTCAAGCACGGTGTTATCGTGGATACAGTCGGACCAGCGCAAATACCGTCAGTTTGTGGCGGTCAGAATCAGCGAAATCCTAGATGTGACCAATATAGAGGAATGGCGTTGGGTGCCAACGCGCCTTAACGTAGCGGATGAAGCAACGAAGTGGGTAAAAGAACCCAGCTTCCATGCGGTTGTAGGTGGTTTGTCGGACCTGAGTTTTTGTACCAGGAGGAGTCGGCGTGGCCAAAAAAGGATTCTGCCAACGAAGGACACTGCTGAGGAGATACGCCCGATACATGCCCATCATCGAAAAATTCCTGAACCTCTGATAAACTACAGCAGGTATTCCAAGTCGGAAAGATTATTGAGAGCCACAGCATTCCTTCTGCGGTGTGTGAATAACTGCAGAAGCAAAATCAACGGAGATCCTGTCGAACTCAACCCCATTTTGTCTCAACGGGAGCTGCAGAATGCCGAGGAGTTTCTTTGGCGTGCCGTGCAGATGGAGGCATATCCTGATGAAGTCATCGTGCTTGGAAGACAGCAGCAACAATCGAGTGCAGCAAGGTTGGAAAAAACAAGCCCGCTTCACAAATTATCACCCTTCGTCGATGAGACGGGAGTAATTAGACAGGAAGGGCGAATTGGTGCTGCCAACTACGCTTCCTATGACGCTAGGTTCCCAATAGTGCTTCCACGGAACCATTACGTGACTGGACTCGTTTTGGATTGGTATCACCGTAAATACGCCCACTGCAACGTGGAGACTATTGTTAATGAGGTTCGGCAAAAATTCCACATTTCTAACTTGCGCACGGCAGTGCGCAAACAGATACGAAAGTGCAACTGGTGTATCGTCTACAAGGCTACCCCACGGGCTCCGAGAATGGCGCCCCTTCCAGAGTCCAGGATGTCTTCGTACGTACGTCCTTTCTTCTTTACCGGAGTGGACTATTGCGGACCTTTCTACTTTCGGATCGGTCGTAGTAGTGTGAAGAGATGGGTAGCGCTCTTTGTGTGCCAAACCGTGAGAAAAATCCATTAAGAGGTCACAGGCAGTCTGTCAACTGAATCCTGCAAAATGGCTGTGCGACGTTTCATCGCAAGAAGAGGTGCTCCGCAGCAGGTCTTCAGTGATCAAGGAACCAATTTTCATGGCGCTAGGAAGGAGTTAAAACAGGAGATTGCAGGCATCAACCAGAAACTGGCTGACACCTTTACCAACTGCAACACTCAGTGGATTTTGAATCCACCAGCTGCCCCACACATGGGTGGCTCGTGGGAACGATTGGTCCGTTCGGTCAAAATAGGTTTAGACACGCTCTCTACCAGCAGGAATCCGGACGAGGAGACTTTTGGAACCGGTCTGGTCGAGGTGGAAGCCATCGTGAACTCTAGGCCGCTAACGCACGTGCCACTTGATTTGGAAGATGACGGAGCGCTTACCCCCAATCATTTTTTGATGTTAAGCTCCAGTGGTGTTGTGCAGCCAACCAAGTCGTCTGTTGATACTGGCGCTGTTCTCAAAACCAACTGCGGCCACGCGCAGAGTTTTTTAGACCTCTTCTGGGCCAGATGGGCCAGAACACGCACCAAGTGGTTCGACGACTCTATACCAATTCAGCCAGGAGATTTGGTGATGTTGGAGGATGGTGGAATACGGAACAGCTGGATTCGCGGAAAGGTCGTCAGAGTATATCCCGGAAAGGATGGCAGAATCCGCATCGCTGACGTCCAAACTAGTAGCAGAGTGCTTCAGAGGCCAGTAACAAGTCTGGCTGTACTTGAGGTTCAAAGCAGCGGTACAGCTGGAAGGAAGTTCCAGCAATACGGGCCGGGGAATGTTGGAGACAGCCAGTTGCATACCGGTCTTGAAGCGAGCCAAATTGCAGCAGGGCAGCTGACTGGGCGTAACGCTACGCTTGACAGGACAATTGACATCATGGATGACAGAACAGGTGACAGGACAGATAAGGAGAGTTATAAGATAACAGATAACAAATAGAACAAAAGGAAGACAGATTAAAAACTATTAGGTACTTATTTTCTTTCGCATTTTAAAAGTGTTTGCTAGTGGTAAAATATATTGAATTCTTTTATTTCGTAAGTTTACATGAATTAAAATACTAGCAATTATTAAATTAAAATTTATATACAGATAGCACAACACATTAAAAACAGTTTGTTGACACAGTGAACTTCAACACGTGAAGTGGATTAAAATTTGTAAGTTTATATATTAAGTTTTCTAAAATTAATCTAATCTTTAAATAAAACTTACAGCTAAAAGCATTCTCACTCAAAACTTGAGTTTGCTAACGGAAGATCCGAAAATTCACCGAAGTTTACATTGCCGTCAGCAACAATGCCTGTCTAGAACACAACCCTTTATTTTTTTAAACCCAAATTGATTTCACAATATTAGCGCAAAGGATTTCCAGATAGTAAAGAAAGGTTTATTTCCATAACATTAATGCTAGTGAAATGCACATTACTGCAGCTTATCCCCGTCATTAAAGTGTATGAGCAAAAAAAAAATTATCTAATGAAGTGATCCTACCCTACTACACGGTGCAATCGTTTGCGTTACATTATTCTGCGTTTACCTAATCCGTTGCTTGGTTGAACTACTTTAGCCACGATAAAATATTTCTAAAACAAACGTTTCACAAGCCATGTTCGGTTTCTCTCTATCTCTCTCACACTTGCTCGGCAGTCTCGGCATCATTGTTAGCATTACCTAATAGGAGTTTATTTTATATTGTTCGTCGTTCACTCTGCTCGCCACGGGGCGATGTATGTTGGGGATGATCACATTCAATTATATCAGTCTGCACGTTTTCTACTGAACATCTCCCGCTCTTAAAAATCCACCACTGACTGACATACAAAACTGGCCAAAGTAGATTAACGAAAACAGTTCCACCGCTATCGGCTCCCCCTCTGCCACCCTATCACACTGGATATTGGCCTACTCACTCGAATCGTGGGTAGGCAGGTCTCTAATTCACTAAGCGTTTTGACGAAACCACTCTCTTTTGGGGCAAGCTTTTCCCGTCACTAATACTCGATACTAAGAGGTAACGGTGGTCGGAAAGCTCACCCAACTAACGGCAGAGAGCTTTTACTTTCGATAAGTTCCGATGAACGATCCACAGTTGGGGCAGTAGTGGTTTGCATCACGGCACGATGTCGAACAGTAGGGAATACAAACGCAGGGCCAGCAAATGAACAGGCACAGTAAAGCGGCACAGATGTGTGTCTTGGTAGTGGTTTCGTACTCCAACCGGGTGACCATGGTTGCCCGACAGGATGGGCACGTCATGGTGGTTGGATCGGGACCGACCTGGGGACTCGTAACGATGACGGTGGTTGATTCTGTAATAGAGGAGTCAGGAAATGGAGATGATTTTAGTGCCAGACTGCTTCTCTACGAAGAATTTGATGAAGTGGGTGGGGCTTACGGGTTGGGATGTTGAATGAGGCCGGCGCATTGGACTGCTCCGGATGAGGATATGCCGAGGATGTGGGACCGTGAACCTGATCGTATGTTGGGGGATTTGTCTTTTCTGAAGCTGGCACACCAGGTGAAAATGATGGGATGAAGATTGATCATGTAGACATTGTTACATTATAATTCAACATAACTGCCAAAACAGTCAAATGGACTTACCCATTATTTTGATATATCTGCTTAACGTCCGCTGGGTTTGAATGCAAAAACTAAACTAATCGACGCTTGCTATCAGTCCTAACCGTAAATCGCCTTGTGAAACTCAGTATTTGAGTCTTATCGTAGAACGTTTACTTGGCTGGGGATTTTTGTGCTGTTTTTGACGCTTGATATGAGTGAGTTATCAGAGCGACTGAAAGCGATTTGTGATATGGGTGAGTATGATTCAACCTAACTGGTGCCCAAATTTTGATTTCGTGCGGTTAAGATAAGATATTGGGAATGACGGTAACGACTGTGAGTCAGATTAGATTTTACTTGCCATCCCCAGGTGATTGGTATCTGGAGCAGTTCAACGTCACTTAAGTCTTTATTGTTTTTATTTTTATGTTTTTCATTGAATAGTGATTCATCAACCATTGGTTGCAATTGAATTCGGTTTTCTCGCAGAGCTTTGATATGTACGTGAATGGGTAGTTAAAACACTCATTACTCATTTTTGTTACTTATAATAATTTGAACTCAGTTGATTTATTTGAAAGAGCTGTAGTTTTCATAAGGTATGTTTTGTAATGTTTTGTTGCAACAAATTTATCAGGGAATGAGCATGAGCATGATTGACCGCCCACCGTTGTTACTCTGTTATTTCCATATCAGCTGCAAGTACACAGAGAACCAATAGATGATGCTCAGTGTGTAAGAACTGGTCATCTAAATCTAGGCAACACCAGCGCCGGCCGTGCCCAAACACAGGTTAAGAAAGAATTGGGTAGGAATGTGTTGACGTGACACTTGTTTTGATGGAAGCCGAGAACACCTCTGCACTTTCTCCAGGAATCACTGGGATATTGGGTAAGAGGGTTGGGATTGCAGCAGGTTTCGTTTTGGTAAACGATAAGGTGAATTGATGTCCTAACGATCATATCACGCGAAGGAGCTTGAGATTGAACCCATGATATTCTGCTCACTAAGCAAAAACGTTTGCCACTAGTCAAACGAGCTCCTTTTATTACATCACATCAATGATCAATTTGTTTTTATTCCAATGGTATTCACATCACAAATAAAGTGATTGACGAATCTTGAATGTGTTACCAACAACTTGTGAACAATGGTCCGGCTCAAGGCAGGATGTTCACGGAGGATAGTTAAGGTTAGGGTTAGTTCTTTTGTTTTTTGATTATTAGGTTAGATTTGTATGTAAAGTTTGTGCGGGAGTGTTCAATGTTGGCAGCACGGATCACCGGAAAAGAAGAAAGGAGAAGTAAGAGTGAGGAATGAAGAGCAACGACAGAGAAAGAGAGGAGATGATGAAGTAGTTTTTTTTTTTCTGGAAGAGGCAGAAAGTTTCCAACAGTCGAGTTGAAGCCAAAAGAAAATTTACGCCTTTGGAAAAGATACCCACGACCGGCGGAGTGCGAGATCATGGTTACGAGAGTCCCGGGAGTGATTGAGCCGGCGGTAGATCGTGCGAAGTGTGATATCGATAAAGAAAACTTGATGTGAATATATTCAGAGGAAAATTGATCAGCATCAAAACAACAGCAAAGAGTTATGGAAAATTTTGAAATCTTTGATGAAGCCTAGTAATTGTAAATCGCGGACCATAACTTTTGATGGCATATTAGAACAGTCAGAACCAGTAATTGCTTCTAAGTTTAATGACTATTTCGTAGAGAGCGTTTCATTGATCAATTAATCTATTGAGCTGATCAATGAACCGGACGAAATAAAACAGCCGATTAATAGTAACTGTAGATTTGATGGTTTTCACATAATTACATTAGATGAACTTAAAAATATTTGCTTTTCACTAGGAAAAACGGCTGGAGTAGATAATGTTAATGCTAGAGTTATTCAAGATTGCTTTCATGAAACCTTTTGTTGATACCGGAACAATCGGGATACCGTGAAACCGCGTTAAACTTAGTGTTAGCTAAATGCAAGGAATGAAGAGCAACGAGACAGAGAGAGAGAGAGAGAGAGAGAGAGAGAGAGAGGAGATGATGAAGTAGTTTTTTTTTCTGGAAGAG